GAAACTTTTGAAGACCATAAATCTATATGAGAAAGAAATACATTTAGATATAAATGGTATTAAACTGTAAAGTTGTGAATGGAAATTTCTGAGTAAAACCTGTAGATGATCTATTATGATCGAGGAATAAAACAAGTATTATAAAATTTGTAAGGAAATATTTGAATATGGAGTAAATGAAAACAATCCATATCGTTAAAATGAATATAAAAAGGGATAAAATGTTGGAATTACGAGTGATGATGAGACAGAAATAAAAACATTATTATAATAAATAAGTTAAGCTAGAATTAAAAAATATAAACACAGAAGGGAAATCATGAAACGTAAGAAAAGCAATTAACAGTTATAGACTTAAGTTTTTTAAAAAATATTCGGTAATGTAAGGAAGATGTTGTTAAACACGTGAAAGAAATTAGAAATTCTGTAGGAAAATTTAGTAAAAAGAACTAAGATCATGAAAAAATAAACGTTTCTTTTTAAATAAATATCATACCACTAAGTTAAAGTGTGTATAGAATACTAGAATGGTTTAAAAAAAGTAAATGAAGTTAAAATTCAGAATATATTGAACATTATAACGTTAAAAAAAAAAAGTGTGAAATTGCATCTAAAATTAAGTAATGTAACAAATAAACAGCACGTGCGGGAACGTTTGTGAAATATAACGTATAAGTTAAAAATCAGGTATTCTGAAATTTATGAAAGGTATGAAAAAAAATAGTATGTGGAAATTAAATAAAATATTACAAATAAATTAGAAACGTTAAGTATTAAAAAATATGACAGTAAATGAATATGTTATTATGAAACAGAAAACCTGAGAAATAAGTTAAAGTTTCATGAAAAACTAGAAAGGATAAAAGTATCAGAATAAATTGATGAGTCGATTCAAATTCCATTTTCTTAAATAGGCTTTTTTACCTGAATCTGAATGTATCACATCAGCTTAGTGGTTAAAATCTTCAAAACTACTGAGCTGGTGAGATATTTGTTTGAGAGTTCAATTCTATATTTTTGAATAAGAGAATATTTTTTTTTTTAAAAAAAGAAATTTCTAAAATAAATTATTTTCTTTTTTCGTCCGTAGAGGACGCCATGAGCAATTCCTAAACAGATTATTTTCATTTTTCATCCCTAGAGGACGCCATGACCCCGTTGCCAATTAAAAAAAACTAACTTTAAATGAAAAGCAGGAGGTCTACAACTCAATCAGCAATCTACCAACACCTCAACTCCACTCGTGACCACGCCTCCTAGTGTGATGACGGTGCCTTTGGTCCCGCCCTCTGTGTGACGTCATTGACCACGCCCACACCCCACACCGCGTGTGGGTGAACCTGCATTTTCTATCTACCAATGTCCGCCGCACAACCTAACCGTATTGATGCCTCTTCTAGCTTTTCCACCAAAATTTGCGTTAGTGTTATCTTCACAATAGGCAATAATTTTATTGTTCAAACTATTAATTTTTAAAATAGTTACTTGTTGAATAAAAAAATATTTGTGAAGTTTCACCCGGCAATGAAACAAAATCTAATATTCTAATTTTAATTCCTGTTTCTGGATCAAAATGTCTAACAATTGTGGGAAATAATATTAAATCTTTGTGGTTAGAAGCATCATAATATATGGATATAACTGTGCATTTATCTAATTCTTTCTGCAATTGTGAAAACGAATATAGTGAAAAAACATTACAAATAATTGCTTCGGTTTTTGTCCTTGCACATGCAAATTTTTTGTCGTACAATATTTTGATCATTTACGACATACAATCAATTGATCTGAAACGTCTGATTGTGGTTTAGGGTGTGGAAAGCAAATAGCCCTTCAGCCTAATGCTAGCTGTTCCTCCGTTAACAATACATATTCCTTTTGACAAGACGTAACGATAATGATCGAACACCACCGAGTAAATCTAACTCGTTTCATCGCCTAATTTAGTTTACTCTGCATGCATTTTATGTGTTTTATTATTTACGTATTTTTTATTTCTTTATATTTACTATAATAATTAATAAATAATAGGTAGTATATTTAAAATAAGAAATGCAGATGTTTTCTAAAAAGCGGGACATTTTTAAAAATCGGCGGGACGCGGAACAGTCCTCCAAAAATCGGGACTGTCCCGCCGAAATCGGGACGTGTGGTCACTTTATGCTAGATGATATTTTTGTTTGCTGCCATCTTTCCTGAAAGCGAAAATACACTAAATTTGTTCGTACACCGAAAAAAATAATAAAGTATGTGTTTCATAATAATAATAACTGAACGATATAAAGTGAAATTTCACAAAGAGACATAGTCTCAGATTATCATCTTTGGAACACTTTTCTGCTGCTTAGTAAAACTGAATTTTATTGCTTACTAAAATAGGATTTTACTAAGCAGCTACACCATTTGCCTTTCTGAAAAACATCTAGTCGTAAGCACCAAGTCAAAAGTACTACTCAGTTATTTCTATTATGTAAATGCATGTTATTTATTCCAAAATCCAAAGATATCAATTTTCTGACTCAGATTTTTACGTGGATGTTTGTAGATATATGCTTTCTTTACCCAGCTCCTCGAAATGTCATCAGCGATATTTTAAATTCGATAGAACTGGTAATAGTACGATTAATTCAATACAATAGAACTGATAATAGGACTATTTTATTATGATTCAGACTGATTTTGATCAAGGATACTTGCATGTGATGGAATTTGAGAGTTTCTTGCCCCTTTTCCGTCTTGATGAGGGAACAATTGACAGTACCTTCAAGACGTCAGATTTTAAGTGCCCTCTTTTTTGAAAACGCTAAACAGTCACTTACTTCCATGTCTTGCCTGGTGCTCGAATATGGATATCTCAGCGTGACAGCTTTTCGGGGACTATCATACCGGTCGCTCCACGAAAGTAACATAGTTAAGAAGGAAAGGGTTGTTCCAGTCGGTGGCGAAGGTCTTGGGCGCCATATAAGTGACTCTACAACTTTGCCCAGCTCTGTCCCAATTTTGATACAGAATATCCTGTATAACCCCTTATCTTACAACAAACTCTATGGGGGGGGGACTTTCGACTCAACGGTATTTTAAGTGCCCCCATACTGCAAAGACACTATACATTTACAAACATCCATCGTCTCCAGAAATAGCGCTATGGTGGCCTGTTCCTCTACTACCAGATCGAACATGGCGGCAAAAAATGACAATATTTAAGAGTTGTAACTCGATTTGTCTTAAGTTTGAAAATTTTAAACACATATTAAGATAAATTAATTTTCGTGATTTTTTGGCTTTGAAATGGCAACGTACCGATTCTATGCTGTAATCACTTAGTTACCAAATACTTTAATTTGATTGTCGAAATTGTCAGAATCTGAATCATCACCCTAAATTTCTTTCCTCTATCAAACAATCAAGCTTTTCAAACTAAATAGAAATTTTTTGTTTTTGAAATAAATATTTGTGACACTAGAAGACTATTGTTTTGCTTTCTTAATGGTTTTCAGATATTAAGAGAAAGTATTATATAGTTATTTTATAATTAATAACGACTTACCTAATACCTTGTGGAGGAGTGTTCCTGTGGAATATCACGCTAAAAGTTAACAACCAACACTACAACAGAAAGTCGAAAACTACAAATTAATTATTAAATTTACATTTCGAATGTCATTTTTTGTATTTAAAAATCGAAATTTCTTCATTCTGCGCACGGTCTTCGAATATAGTTAATCAGCAACAGAAATTTTTTGGTTTGATCTAATTACCTTCTAATTTTCTTTACTGTTATATGTGTTCCTGATGTTACGGGTGTTCGTGTAATTACTACGTTATTAAAAATCTATGTGCATTATGATCTATATTCGAAAGTAAGCTTGGAACTTAGAAAGCGAGGACACGTTATCCTCCATTTAGGGTTTCTTAAACTGTGGGTCACGGGACCTGCAGCAAAAGGTCGCCAAAATTTTTAGCAGTTTTGATATTTCTTAAACTTATTATAATAATTTTACAATTACTAAAAATTTTTGCACAATGTATCTGAAAATAGATAAGATACGACAATACAGGCAAAGAAAAAACGAAAACGTTTCTACGCAGTCTTTTTATAATAGAAACATTCATTTTACTTGCTTTGCACGTGCCGCTGTCATTTCGTCTGTTGCTTATTTAAAACCATTAAAGCGGCACTAATGAGAACAGAGAGAATGATAGAAACATTATGGGAGCATGGAAAGAAATTTAAATGAAGAAATGCTTCGAAAACAAAGAAGAGTCCTAAGCTTTCTGACCGCGATGACTTGTTCGTATAATTCTAGCTGTTAAGCAGAATGTGACTGGGCAAAAAAGTTTCCCCCAATTCCTACCTGATAACAACATGAGAACAAATGTAATGTCAGCACATGTGAAAATTTTTGTCCCTCATATTTGGTTCCATAGTTCAAGTTTGCAGGAGCTCTGCAGTGAGAGGTCACTAGCGCTGGAAAGGCGCAACCAAGGTAATCATTTTTAGTGCTTTTAGGAATAAAACATTTTACTCGCTCTCATAAGTTTATTGCACTACTTGGAGAATAAACCATGTGGATGTAGGATTTTTCTTTCTTTAAAAGTGTTAAAGTACGATCATCAAAGTAACTTATGGATTCCGGAGCAATTTAAGCTCTGGATATCACGCAGACGCTTTATGGGAAAAAGGGGTAGTGAAACACTTCTAACATTAAGCAAATTCCTCCGTAAGTTTTCTCTGAGTATTTTATTTATTCTCATTATATGACATACACAGTTCTACAAATGGCTATTTGTGGAAATGGCAGCCTTCTGAATTTATATAAACAGCAATGGGCGTGTTATGACTCTGCAAGTATTTCTAAGGATTTTCGACTTTAAGACTTTTTCATTTCTACATTGTATTTAGACGAATGCTAAGTTCAAAACTATATACAGACAGACACAAACGTGCTGTTTAAGATTTTACTTCAATTTTCATGCATAAATCGAATTTTTCTTTTCAGGGCAGAAATGCAATCCGGGATAACCGCATGAAATGGCCGGCTGGTGAAATTCCTTACATTATATCGAGGACATTTGGTAAATGAGTTTCCCTTTTCATAACGGAAAACATGTATATTTTTGAAAAATTAAAAAAATATTTAAAAACCTTTTATATCTAAAAATTCAGGCTGCAACAAAAATTTCTTAGAAATTGATTTACGAATAAAAACTAAACTTTTATTCTAATGCATTCCATATGGTATTAGTTCATATAAATTCTGGGAAGGGAGACACAAAATCGTTTAGTTTGCTTTCTGTCTCTCTATATACATTACATACCATTTAACAATATAAACAATCATAACACGAAAACGAAATAGTCATTTGTAACTAAATGTTTGTAATTGTTTATTGCTTATATAAAACAAAGAAACAGACACTAAATACGATAACTTCAAAATAAAAAATAAAAAAAATAATTACAAAAAAAATGAAAGGTTTCAGATTTTAAATTACATCCAAAGGTTTTTTTTTTTTTTTTTTTTTTTTTTTTTTTTTAACATTTTGTCTGTTACCTTTATTTATTAAACATCACGTTATTCGCACTTAAACCATAAAATTCAGTTCAAGAGCAATATCGCAAAATAGTTTTAAATTGAGCATATCCTTTAGAATTTCCGATACGAACTCTCGCGCGCTGGAGATTTTTTTTTTTTTTTTCTGTATAACGTTGCCATTGCTCGCTTTGAAATCCTTGAGTTGTTAATCAAAAATTCGTTAAAGTTTTACAAAATATAAAATCGATAATAAAACAAATTCGAAATTTCAAATCTGGGCTTCCACATGTCCATATTCGCAGTAGGATTACGTCATTCAAAATTCGATGGCTCTACGTACCGTGTTTTATCACAATGCAATAAATATACATACATTTATGCAGATTTTTCATTATTTAATTTCTTCAAATATAATGCGAGCCCACCAGCGGCCGAGCGGTAAAGTCGCTGAACACTGGTAGTTCGGTCCGAGGTTCGAATCCCGCGAACGGGCTGGCTGCATGGGCGTTTTCGTGGTTTTCCCCATGTGGAACGTGTATACGAGCCAGTTTCACTTAGAAAGTCCTCCACGAAAGGCATCCCTCCCCTTAGGCAGATAGCCCTAGTGTGCTTTGCCATAATTAAATACACCACACCACCACATCACACATCAAATATAATGCAAGACTTTAACATTTTGTAGCAACAGTTTGAAAAGTGAAACGGACATTTATAGTGATTCAAACGCAAAATCGCAAAACGGAAACAATAGTCCTTCTGGGACAAAGCCCCTTTGGACTAATAAATAAAAATCTGATGTGTACACCACATGACTTCCTTGTACGAAATATTAAATTATACGCATTTTTTCTTGCATTTCATTTAAACTTATTATATTGACTTAAATCTGCTTCGCCGACAGCGCATAAACCACAATAGAATAAATGCATTCTTTAAAATTCACTCTAGTATTTGTTTACCATAGCGACACTCTGGCGCTAGATTCACTTAACAGTATTATATTTCGTTCATATTATAACTCAGAATGCACAAAATTTATATCATTTAAAGAATAGAATTATCTAATCGTTGCCACATGTTCTATTCAAATACTATAATAAAGCTAAAATGATGTATAAAAGAAATTAAGCAGACAAAGCAAAAAAGAAACAGTTTTTCACAGACGATTGAGTATTTTTCATTCAATTAATTCAGTTTTCACTTCGCGAGAAGGCAAAAATACATAAAAACTCAAAATATCTATATTAAAAATTACGAAGTAAATCTTAAACACTTATTTCCTCGAAAAAATTCCAGAAAGAATTAAACATGATTTAATTGGCAATAATAAATGAAGACGTTACCTTTGTTGTTGCGAAGCCAAGTTTCTCTAGATTGGCAACAAATCCACTAGTCTGCTGTTTCAAATGTAAACAATCAATGGCCGCCATAAAAAAAAAGGCTTAGCGGCACTTAAACAACTTTTTAAAATTGTTGATAATTCTAAAAAATATTGCATACAGATTTACTAAAGGCATAAAAACCTTAACCGGAAGATAAAAAAAACAACATAATTCAATCATTTTTAAAGCAAAAAATGTACAATTTACAAACATATAAGAGTAAAGAAACTGAGATCACTGAGCCGGGTAACAGAGTGGATATATATATAAATATATTTATATACGTTTGGTGCGGCCGATTGCAACCAAAATACGAGGCGCACATCTACTTGTTATAGCAGCCCTATATACAAAATTTCAACGTTCTGAGGCTACTCGTTTTTGAGTTATGCGAGATACGTACGTACGTATGTACGTACATACGTTCGTACAGATGCCACGAAAAATTCTCTTCAGAATTCATTTTAAGCAGTTTTATAATTTTTTTTGCGGGGAAAGTCTTTTATTCTGTGTTTACGTACAGATACTACGCAAAAACATCGTTAAATTTAATTCGATAGCGGTAAAAATGGATATTTTCGTTGAAATATGCTGCCTGAAACTTTTCGCGATTACAATACTTGCTTTTTACTTCGTACGAAGAAGTAAAAATATACCCCACCTCCTTCCTTAGAGAAATTAGCAGCACGCTCAAAAGTCTGAAATCTGATATGCATTTAATCAAACACTACTGCTTTCCATATTAAAATTCTAACAAAACGTAATTCATAAATATTTGTTGATTTCTATTCACACCATAATATATTCTATCAAGGTGTAAATGGCAATTTTTGCATCATATTAATCAATCAGAATGGGTTATCATGCAAACTTCTTTCTCTATGTTGCTTGGTTGTTTCAAAAGTGTTAAAAACTTTATAAAACACTTGCATGAATATATTTTAAAATTCGACTTAAGGACTTTTCTGTCTGTACTCTTGGTAACTCTGGGCAGTCCATGGATAGGGAGAATACTGACAAATGCACTGCACTATTACATTTTAATTCTATTGCTTTTAAGTTTTGGGAAGCAAGATTAAGGCATGACACTGATTACCTAATGCAGCTTTCATGTAATATATTTCATGTAATATTAGACAAAATAGATGATTAATGATAATTCGAATTCATGCCATTGAGATATTACGACAAGTAAGCTAATTGAAAAAATACTCGAATCTAACGCTGAGTTGTATGCTTGGTGAAAAAATCTAGAATATTTAAGGATTCATTTCGGTCCAATGGACCTCATATTCGGTAAAAAGTTGCATTGCTATTTCATTTAATCCTTTAGCTAACAGAAATTTAATAGAAGATACGTATTCTGAATATTAAAAAGGCACAATAAAAATTATCAAGAGGACTTTTAAATTCCTAACTTATATCGTCGTGGTTAACAGACTCCTATTTCGAATATAAACTAAGCGCATCATACAAATCTCCAGAGTAACTCAATAGAATCATGTCGTGGCAATCACTTCTCTAGACGACCACCCGAATGGGATCAGTATTTCCGAGTTTATAAATACACAGACTGTAAGAAAACTAGAAATTATTGATGTTGATTTTATTTTTAACGGAGGCACTTTGAGCGAATCATCATTAACATCTTCTTTAACCACTTAGTGAATGAAAGACGAATACCGCAAGAGAGATGAATATCGAGAACGGGGTTACAACCGAAAACATCGCGGACGAAAACGTCACGGAGAACCAACACAAGGCGATACAAAACATCCTGGGAGAAAACAAAGCAAAGAGAAAACATCTCAGTTCTGAAAGTATCGTGGTACAAAATTTCGTCGTCGGAAAGAAAGCGGTTCAAAAACTTCGCAGTTTAAAAACATTGTCGTTGAAAATATCAGTGGTAAAAAATAAAGCTCCTACAAATCATCGCATGACGATAACATGCGCTTTTCGGGTTTTAAAAGTTGTAAATGCATATTCGCATAAAGATTTGAAAGCTCGTGAAAGACACTTTAAGAATAAACGGAAACAAAACAATTTCATAATTTCCACCAAAATAATATCAGATTAACAAATGTGAAAGAAAATAATTTCATAATTAACTAAGCAAATTTTTTATAGAGGTAACTTCATGCAGTTGTTTATCTTCCTTTTTCTAAGCATTTTAAGGCTGTATTTTTCATCAAGAATTATGCATAAAACTTTATAAAAATATTAATTTATGAATGACCTTTGTTAATTAACGATCTAAATTTAAAATTCTGTTAAGTGCTATACGTTGCATTTCAATTTTTAAATGCTTCAGTTTCCTTCTTACTTTTCTGGGTGGAGGACTACGTAATTCAAATTTGATGGCTCTAGGTACCGTCGTTTTTTCACGATGTGAGAAACATACATACATACATGCAGAGATTTCATTACTTAATTTCTTTAAATATAAAAAAGGGTGATAACATTTGGTGGCAACACTTTGAAAAAACATTGGCACAAAACTGTTTCAACAAAACAGTGATACATTGCATTTAAGCGGTTCAACGCAAAATGCCGTTTCGTAACTAACAAACCTTCTAGGCTAATGCCGCTTTGGGCTAAAGAAACTGAATAATGAAGAATTTGGATATTTTATTGTATATTGCATAATTTGCAAAACTATAACGAATTTTTGATTAAAAAACCTCAACGATTTCGAAGAGAGCAGTGGAGCTCTCAACAGTTTTAAAGCTTTAGGGAATAAAATAATTTTATCTCCAGCGCGAGAGACTGTCTATCGGAAATTCGAAAGATATGCTGTTTTTAAATATTTTAAGCTCAAATGCTCTCGAAACGCATTCTGTAAATGGAAAAAAAAAAAAAATAAATAAAAATGCCCATTTGGGCGTAATATAAAATCTGAAAGCTTTCAGATTTTAGTTTTTTATTTTCATTACTCTCGTGGATAGTTTGCTTTACTTATTTTCTAATAGTTAATTTTATTTTTGAAACAACCTTTCCTATTATTCTCGTTTTTCAATCCACGCTTTCTTGCCAGAATGTTAATGAGTCAGCGCGCGTGCATTTAAATAAGGTTAAATTTAAGAGAAGTTAGTATTTAAGAAAAGGTTTTGGAAGGTGAATTCAGAAAGAGAGGAGAGCATGTTCTGCCACCCGAGGCCACGTTTCTATCTTTGATTTTCTAGCTACTAGATTTCTGCGGCGTTGAGCGCTTCTAGCCATTAAGCTTGTTTACGCCAATTTTTACAAGCCTACCTACGCATTAAGTAATCTGCGAAAGGCCGTTAGGTTGATTTAATTCTAATCTGTCTTAAGTTACTTGTTACCTTTTGAGTTAAGCTAAGTGTTGGCTTTTGTAAGCATGAGTCGGTGCCGTCTGTGCCAGATTGAGTTAATAAAGGGTGTTTTACACCCTTCTCTGGACTTTGTGGTACTTAAAACTTGAGGATAATTCCTCACACAGTCTTCTAGCATCTCGTTAGTTTATGCTCGCTAAGGATATGAGACTTTATACCGTTAAGAAGCTCCCCACGTTAATTTCCGACCTGTGCACACCGAGAAAAAACGTATTAATCCCCCTTTCTTTTTCCCAACACTGCTGTTTGTTCACGCACCTCTTTGTCACATTCTAAAATTCATGAGCTCTGAGACATAACTAGGACTAAAGAATTAAGATTATAATAACTTTATACTTTTAACTTCCTAAATATTAATATTAAACTTTATACACAACAGTTTCATGTCGAGACAAAACGAAATACTGACGAGAAGGTTTCAGTTCAGTTATTATATATTTATCATTCAAGACCTTTGTATAATATATTGTTTCCATAGTCATCGGTTCGTAGCCACACAAATTTATAAAACGCAGAAGTGAATAACGCTTTCATTTCTGCATGTCTGTAAATTCGCGTTCGATGATCATCAGACTGTCGAACTTAAGCATTTGCTGTGGATTTATATCTATGAAACCAAAATATGTCTCATATAAAAATACTTATAACAATCATTTTTATCATTTCGCTTTTTTAATTTAATTGTAATACATGCAGTCTCTTTAGACAGGAGAGACCGCAGTATCATTGCTCGTGCCATAGAAGAATTTCATAAAGCAACCTGCATTCGATTTGTTCCTAGAAGCTTCGAATTTGATTATGTGTTCGTCACCAGGAGAGAAGGGTAAGATTTAAACATTTTTATAACCAATAAATCAATAGTCATAACTTCTGACTGCACTGCAACAATTTATTGAATTTTTTATGTATACGCGCTCAAAGATTGAAGGGTTCAATGCTATAATTACTAGAATACTCGGGAACAGGGCTCAAACTCTGTCGAAACTGATTGCAAACTGCAAACATAGGGCTATAAGATCTCCTCTCTGTTCCTCATAACAGCCAAGGAGCCTTTGTCAACATATGCAGGGATGTGGAGACGTCTCAATTTATTGCTGCGTTAATCTCCACCACTGCAATAATCCTTTTCTCCGAGAAAGGAGGTTTCAGGTATCGTCTTCCAGGCTTTTCACTTATACAGGTAAGCCGAGAATCAGTGTTTAGGCTGAATCTCGACTCATTTGTAAAAAGCACGGTGCTCCACTGTAGTCTAGTCTAAGGCGCATGTTGTCTGCACCATACTAAACGCGCTCTCTCGTGTCCTACAATGAGTAGGACGCAAACAGCAGTTCTTCTGGCATACATCTCTATCTCATAAACTTTTGGGCTGCTGGTTGATCCTCAAACTCGGGTTCAGCTCACGTGAGAGTTGTGAAGCTGTAACTGTCCTGTATCAGTTCGTTGAAAATGCAAAATAACGATTCTCATTCGTCGTTGGGGATCGTGGTCGACCTTGTCCGAGACATCTCGATATGGATTCAGTATCCTAAACTGTTTTCATAAATTGCAGAGACACTGGGCGTTACAGTGAGCTCTGTAGCCACATGCACTTGTGAAGGGCCTGCCTCCAATCAACCGACAATTCTGCATCTTATTTCATCATAGCTCCACAGACACACATGTATACACTTATGTATTCTATTCTGAAAATTTGCATAATTCTTTGGCGACATAATAAGTACCTTTGGTTCAATACCTTTCGTAAAAGTAGACATAATTTACAAATTCTCTTATTTTGCACACGATTAAACAAAGATTAGTATTCAATTCGATTAAATAGAGTGCGTGTATTAAATAGAGAATTATACCCAGCTTTGTAGATAAATATGCTTTTGAAGTTGGTTTATATTATATCTCGATATTTTGCCCGCAAATATTTCGAAATTATTTGCTGACGCTTTGTTTTTCCTATTACATTTAGTATACATCAATGTTTTAAAACTACGAGTTATTGCCCTTCCATTCTTTTTTCTTCGACGATGCTTTCCGTTTGTTTTCTGCGAAAATTTCTGAAAACACAAAAGACCTTAAAAATAAATAAAAAATTGACAAACAAGAAATTAAAAGTATAAAATTTATGAATTAGTGTATTATTTTCTTTTAGATGTTTTTCTATGATCGGAAGAGATGGTGGAGAACAGCTGCTGTCATTAGGAAACGGCTGTTTGTTTGTTGGTATTGTGATACATGAATTTATGCATGCTGTTGGTTTCTGGCATGAACAGAGCAGAGCTGATAGAGATGATTTCGTGTCTATATTATGGGAAAACATTCAACCAGGTAGTATTCTTTTTTCCATTACTCAAAATAAAAACTTTTTATTATGAATGGGTGATCACAAAGTTTCCTTCGAGGGCAGTATAACCTACGTTTACTCAGTCTTGAAGGAACTGATATAGGGATGTATCCGATTGACGAAGCAAGCGAAGATGCCCTTTTAGGAAAAGTCTTTTGTCTGTTTGTAGAAATATGGTATCATTGTCAGAAGGAGGAAAATAGTAAATGTAAAACGATAAGGAAGATTAATTGTGCTGCTGTAAGGCTGTAAGCAGTCTTGTTTCAATACGAAGTCTCCTCAGTAACTCGGTACAGTTGATGAACCGGAGAATGCTTCTGCTTGAATTCGGGAATCAGAATCTTGTTCTGTTCAATGAATAGGAGTAGCTGGTGAAGTATTACATGTGCCACAATCTTACTTAGTGCCGAAGGGATTGATCAGTGTAAAACGGGGTCACCGGGAAATGTTCCTCGCTTAAGAATCGGCGAGATGATAATACTCTTCTAGACTCCAAATGCTCAAATTTCTAGAAAACTTCTAAAAATGTCCAAATTTCATGATGATGTTAATCATTCTCACAGAATCATGATAAATTCCATGTTTTGAACCATTTTATTTGATACATCGTCAGTTCACAAATTTTTTGGTAATTCTTGTAGTGCTTTTGACAGTGATTTAGCGATAAGTACTTCTAATAGCTGAAGTGAAGAAATATTGTCTGTCTGTGTGTTGAAATAAAGTTTATTAATGTTTAAGTGACAAATATTTTCTGTTGGAGAGTGGGAAATGTTGTTAGTGCAAAACTGAGAAGCATGGCGATCACGAGAGAATCGTCTCTCTCTGATTTAGTGGAGTAGTGGGTAAAGGCCGATTCTGGAACAAAAGAAGCTCCGCAACTCCGCAATTTCTCCACCCTCACCTCCCCCTCCCTCCTCCTCCCAAGCGCTCCTCATGGAGGTAGGAAGTAAGAAGGAGTCGCCCTAAACAAGTTTCTCCCGTACCCTGCTTCTGAAGCACCGGCGATCCCTACGTGGTGACCAAAACATTGGGTCATTTACCAATTGAGTTCTATGGGATTTGACGCGTTCGGGTGTGTAAATATTTTGTAATTACGTCGCAAATATACATATAAATGTATATATTTTCTTTTTCTACAACACTTCAGAGTCCATAAGTATGTGAAAACAACATATTTTTAAACAACATTTCATTCTGAACGGAATTAAATGCTATACTTTTCACAGGACAGTTTTCTCAGAATGGTTTAATTTGAATGAAATATTTTCACATGTTTTCGTTAATTACATTAGAAAAAAAAAATTAAGGTAATTCGATTTTATTCGGTTAAGATACAAAAATTAAGATCAAAGTTATTGTATATTTAATATTAAAATTATGCATTATTTCTTTTCTATTTATAGAGCTTCTTCCTAAAATACTTTCTTAAATATGACATGATTTTTTGGCTTCTTTTAAATCGAAAAATGTAAGTCAATTTATAATTAATGCTTCTATTCGGTTCATTTTAAATTAGAGAATTATTAGGAAAATAGTATTTGACTTCTCTGAACATTTCTGAAAGGGAATAAAATAAGGTTTTTTTTTTTTTTTTTTTTTTTTTTTTTTTTAAGTATTATTTAAAACTTGTAACTGAGTTATTATAAAATATAAAGGGAATAATTCTTTTAATTATACTTATCAGATTTTTTTTTACCCTTCATTTCAACAATACATATTCCAAAACTCTTTATTACGTTCTTAAGTGCGCATCTCATAGCATTTGCTTTACAATACCTTTTAACAGATCGCTTTCCAATACGAACAATTCTTGCTTAAATAGTTTTATAACGTATTTGTCAACAGGATTTCAATTTATGTTTACAATTCAATATTAAGATTATTATACATTTAGATAACATTTATAATCATTATAAATTAGATACATTTAATCATTAGATTTCTTCACAGTAACGTATCACAGGTTGTTTATGAAGTGAATAAATTCTTCATTTCAAATACATTTATAAATAATTTAATAAATATTTAAGTAGTTTGTTCAAAGGCAGATACATGCTTTTTGCAAGCACATGCATAAATACCCATACATATTTCATATTTTATCATTTCCGGCATGTTCAAATTCTTTAATTTTCTGCTGCATTCACTATATTTTTCGTGTAAAGTAATTTACAACTAATTTAAGCATACACCCGAAAAGTTTACAGTTTTAAGAAATATGAATATATATGAATATAATTTGAATGAAACTTATAATGTATTATTTTTAATATCCACTCAAAGGTCAGTTTTTCTTCAAAAATTCCTCCACGATGGCATCTCTTCCTTTAGGCAGATAGCCCTTGCATTCCGTTACTCTATTTAATAAAAACTTAATCTTGACCTATGTGCCTAATTACAAATATTTTAAACTACATAATTTTATATTTACATTTAGCCATCAATTTCAAACTTTTCAAATCTTCTAGAAAATAAATTTTGGCAGATCTCTTTTAGCAATTTTCTTAAAATCTATATTTTGTAGTTGCAACAGCTTAGAATTTTATAAAACAAATTCATAATCAAAATCGCTGTTGTTAGTTATCGAAAAAATAACCAAGATGTGATTTTTGCGTAAATGTCAGTAAACTATACAAATTGCTATTATCCATCACACTATGAATGTTTCTTTCATGCGAGAGTGTCCCTTTTTCGATTTCTATGGAACTGTCGTGTGTCGAAATACTATCAGAATTTTGTCAAGCGAGCTTCTGAATGTAAACAAAAAACACCCCGTCTGGTGACCCAAGCTTCAAAGCAGTGCTTCACTTCTAGCGCGGAATGGCCCCTCCTCCCTTTCCTACCTCCATGGCACTCCTCTTCCCCCACCCCCTCCCACTACTTCTCATCCCCCAACCCCACCCTTTCCCTTCCAAGTGCTTTGCTTTCCCCCCTACAACCTTCTACTAGGGTCAGAGGGAAAGTCTTGTCAAAGCGGTTTTGTCCGAATGTTGATGAAAGGGACATTAGTTATTATTTTACTTAATTGCAGTAAATTAACTGAATTTAAACAACAAGATAGTCTTAACGAAAGTTCGCGTTATATCATTATACCGTGTTAATTAATTAATTTGCTTTTTATCTTCACAGAGAAAGTTTCTTCCATTTACTTTAATAATCATAATTTACAGGCTTAATAACGATATTAATTTTTTCCTGTTTAAATTTTATTTATTTTTAAAAACTAACCTTAATCACACACACACACACACACACATTAAAAAAAAAAAAAAAAAACAAAAAAAAAAAAAAAAAAAAAAATTATCAAAATATTAATTTTGGTACGATGTATTATTAGGTTATTTGAATAGGTATAATAACAGATTGTAACGTATTCGCAAAGGCACATTTTTTTAACGTAAAAAAAGGAGCATTCCCGAATATTCTCTATTTACATGCAAAGGAATATTAATTTTATTTTTTAGACACAAAATTGCAATGAAATGTATATACATTTAAATTTTTCCCACTATCAAATTACATTTCATATCAAGAGCAAGTTAGACTCTACTTTTCTGAGCAAAGTATTTGGGTGTGTATTTAATTATGGCAAAGGACAGTAGGGTTATCTTCCTAAGGGGAGGGATGCCTTCGTGGAGAACTTTCTAAGGGAAACTGGCTCTTGTACACGTTTCACATGGGAAAAACCAAGAAAACACTCATGCAGCCAGCCCGTTCGCGGGATTCGAACCTCGGACCGATCTACCAGTGTTCAGCGACTGTACCGCTCGGCCGCTGGTGGGCCGCAAAGCATTTGGGAGTGTCAGTAGTAAAAATGTTCAGTGAACAAGTGAGAGTATATTTCGCTTCTACCTTTAGAAAACACACCTATTGTAAATATTTCGATTTTCCCGCGCTTTCTCCGTTTTGTCCTCGAAATAAACTTTGTTGCTTTTTGACTTCGGACAGTTACATTTTACCATGCTTAGGATATATTAGATATAGTGGTATTTGGACAATAAAAAAAATTACTTAAAAATTCATGTTTTAGAATCCAGGAAGACCGAATTTCTAAAGTATTCACTTCTACAGCCGCTCGAGTATTTCAGCACCTGAGCAACTGAACATGTGAGGTAATAATTAATTTTTTTCCCTCTCTAATATTTGTGACAGAATATTCATTGAATATGTATTAAACATTACAGTCAGATTAACCTTCTCAAACTTAAAAATTGTGTTCTAATGAAGAGAAAAAGAACGTGAGTATTCGCATTTGGTGTATAAATTTGATCAAGAAATATTACTTTTTAAATACTCCAATTTACTCTAATTTATGAGAGAAAAATGTCTATTTTATTGTAAATAAGTACGCAAATGTATTTAGTTCCCATTTTTTTGTCTATATGTAATGTCTCAGATTATCTATAAACATTCTAAGTGAATATCTATTAAACGCTACAGTCGGATTATCCTTCTCAAATTGAACCTGTTATTCTAATGAAGAGGGGAAAAAAAAAAAAAAAATGAGTATTCGCGGTTTGTGTATGAGTTTGATCAAGAAATATTACTTTTTAAAATGTATTTGTGAAAGAAAAATGTCCATATTATTGTCATTAAGGGCGCAAATGTATGTATTTTGTGTATATAATGTCTCTGGTTATGTATAACTATTTAATTGAATAGATATTGAATATCTATTAAACATAACAATTCGATTATCGCTTTCCATTTGAAATTGGTAGTGCAATGAAGGAAAAAAAAAATGTTTATTCGGATTTTATGCATAAGTTTAGTCAATAAACATTAATTTAATAATATTTATGTGAGAAAAATTTCTATTTTACTGTCAACAAGTACACAAATATATTTATTCCCCATTTATCTTGTGTATATAACGTTTCAGGTTTTATATAAATATTTTACATGAATAGGCATTGAATATGTATTAGATACTGGAGTCATATTATCTTTCTCAGATTGAAATTTGTTTTCTAATGAAGAAAAT